GTTACCAGGGAGGGACGTGGGCCTATGCTGGGGCTGCAAGCCAGACTTCGCTGACCTCTGCAACATCCACGGCCCTTCCCGAGGCAGAAAGGCCCAAATTGGTGTGGCCAGCTTGTGGGGCTGCACCCCTCACTGGTGGGTTGCAAAACACAAAACGCCTGTCCCCTCCTACCCTTGCTGCAGGGCCCAGAAGACCCTGTGCTGGGGTGGCCGGGGTACAGCCAATGGGAGAGGGTTGCTGAGCAGATGAGACCCCGGAAGGAGGGGAAGAGGAGCTGTCTTAAAGGCAATGCCGCGGGCCAGATGGAAACGTCTCTTGGGAGGAAGTTTGTACGAGCCCCCCCAGCAAGAGCTCAGCTGCACCAGTGTATTTGAGCCTCATGTCTCTCAAAAATCGGCATAAAATCCACATAAGATAAAGCTCACTATTTTGAAGTTTTTTTACAATCACAAATTATGCAACCGTGATACTAACTCTGAAGGGGAAATTTAAAATTTTAAATAAAATCCTTCCCAGGATGCCCACCAAGACCAAGCAGACATGTCCAGTAGGCCGGATAACAGAACACTTCTCCCTTTGTGCAAACCTGTCTTTACTGCCTTTGTATGACTGATGGCCTTGCAATGTAACTTAAAATGTAAGAAGACATTTCTTCCTCTGTATAACCCATGCTTTGTATAAGGGCCTTGTGATGTAACCTGAAATGTTTAACCCCCTTAGCAGCCCTAGATGTCACCCATCTCTCGAATCATAATGTGCCAAATCTGCCTTTCTACTGGCCCACTTGCTTTCCCATAAAAGCCCCCAAACCCCGCTAGGCAGGGCTCTCTTTAGGAGAGGCTCTACTCAGAAGCGTACTGGTGTAATAAACTGCCTCCTAAACCTTCTCGGTGCCATTTCTTCCCGAGGTCTGTTTTTTGCAGCATTTCAAGAACAGTTTTATTCCCCCCAAAACAAAGCCTTATGCACAACAACTAACCCCTCCCATTTCGCCCTCCCTTCAGCCTCTGGTGATCTCTCATTCCAGTAGGAAGCCACTGCGAGGTTACATTCTGTCAGGGTAGCTGCTTCCAGCCTGGCAGTGTTCCTCCCTAGGTGGAGTAGGGTGAGCACTCTGAGATAGGTCTTCAAGGGGCTACCAGGCGATCAGAACCAAGCCACAGTTGTTTGGGACTCTCAGTGATCTCTGTCCTTCGCCCACACCTGCATCTAGCCCCTTCCCGCGTCTGAGGCCGGGGCTGTGTGTTTGGCTCCTGGTGTTCCAAGATTCCAGGTGAAGTGGTCTCAGCACTGCGATCACCCTGTCTGCAGCCCTGCGGCTCACTTCCGGCCCCCTCCCGGCTGCCCCAGAGAAAGCACCTCGGCTGGTCCTGCGCCCTCTGCAGGCTCAGCGAGGGCAGGACATTTCCTGCTGCACCCCGGTGCCTGGCCGGCAGTGGGTCTTGGCAGAGGCATGCTGTGCGCCTCTCCGGTGAGACAGTGACCCCCACCTTTGTCTAAGGCGTCTGGGGGTGAGGTGGGGTGGGGAGGGTGATGGAGCTCTGGTCCCAGGGATCTACTTCCAGTGGCTGCTGGTCACTTCCGGTCACCTCCGAGGGGCAGGGGCTCGGGGAGCAGGTGCACCTCTACCCCACACCTGCCCTGACCCTGTCCCGCAGCTCCTCCGTGTGTCCTTCCCGGCCCCACCTGTCTGTCTCCCTCTGCAGAGCTCCCGCTGGGGAGGGAGTGGTTGGGAGGGGAGGCGGCAGGGCGGAAACCCCGAGGGCAGGCGGCCTGGGCTGGGGAGGCTGGGGGGCCGCTGGGCCAGTGGGGGGCCTTATGCAGAGATGGGGCTCTTCTTAGG